AAGCAAAAGCTGAATAACATCTGACTTTGGCATCATTCTCACCAGCCTTCTCAACAATAAAAACAATAATGAATTTAAGAATGAGTTTTTTGTGTGGAGGGGAAAGGAGGGCAGGGCAGGAGAAGCTAGAGAACTACATTCAGATAGCATTGGTTCTTAAGAGGCAGATGAACAGTTTTGTAAAACTATACTGAAAAAGGCTCTAATGCAATTACTACCACCCTCCCATCCCCCCCCCCCCCACCTACACACACAAAGTAAAGCTCATTAAACAAAATGGCAGCTATCAAATATTGGAAGGACAAAAGATGTTGCTGGTTACAATGGTGGGAGTAGCTGACCAAGATATAAACAAAGTTACATGATAGATGGGATCGATATTAGGCATTAGCAAACTAGAAATTCAGATAGCAAAAGGCATAGCATAAACAGCAGAAATATCATTCAATTAGAAGAAAAGGGACCGTGAAATCAATAAAGTAGCAAAAATGAGAAACATCTAGAAAATCTGATACAGTATGCAAACAATATACATCAACAGCACAACAAATTTTCACCTGATTCCCCCAGCGTCGTCATCAAAGCACAATTATTTACATTTACTAAAACCGAAGTATGTACTCATTCATCCCCCAATGAATATTCCGGTTTCAGCACAAACACAAAACTTCATACCACAAACTATTTAGTTTGTGACAATTCCGAGTGTATGCTCATCCATTTCCAATAACATTCCAAATACTCCAAAAACACATAAATCCAAACAATTCATTTAATTTCAATAATTCCGAGCTTAATTTTGTCCATTTTCCAATACATACTCAGTTCCAAATCAAGCCAAAACAAAAGCGACGGAATACAGATGATAGATAAGACACGCTAATATATGAATACCGGTTGGTTGAGGAGACCGGAGGATGAAATCGGAGCAGCTGCATTCCGGTAACGTGAGCCGCCAGCGCGCAGAGCAGCGGAGAGAGAACGCCTGGAGAGCCTGTGCATACTTTCTTCAAGCAGAAACGAGGTAAAAGTAAGTAGAAATGTGGAAATGAGGAGAAGGCGATCAGGTGGGTGCGTGAAGAGAGTGATGAAGGAAGGATGAATGTGGCGGTTAAGTACTGGTAGGGTTTTAGGCGAGGTTTAAGCGTTTAACGAAGCTTCTGGAGATGGGTCATAGTCTGCGTTTCATGGCAGAAAATTTCTGGGAATGGTAATGGGTAATATTGTCATTTACTTCCTTTCTCTTTTGGCAAATTACATTTTAAAAAAAAATGGTTAAATAGGTAATACAACTACATACCACTGGACTAGACTAGTTATTCAACTACAAACCTAAAAATGGTTAAATAGGTAATACAACTACATACCACTATACCTACTAATAACGTGGTGGTTAACCAATTTAAAAATAATTTGTTATTTTTAATTTAATAATTTTAAATAAAATAATTATTTAAAAATATTTTTAAAACATCTCACTCCCTCCCTTGCTTTTGTCTCCGGCTATGGAGACGAAAAATCCTTCATCTCCTGGCTTGATAGGAAGTTCGGCGGGAAGCTAAGGCAAGGGAGGGTGGGTTTTTTTAAATTTTAAAATAATTATTATTTAAAATTATTTTAAAATTGGTTAACCGTCATGTCATCGTATTAGCAAGTAAACAAGTCAATTTATTTATTTTTTTTGAAAACAAAGTCAATTTTTGTTTAATTGCATAAATTTGCGTTATTCGTTGACCTAATGTTTTTTTTTTTTTAAGTTAAATGATCTAGTTGCAATTTGGTCTGTAGTTACATACACATATGATATATTGATATGCAATAATTGTTGTCGATGAATGCATTCTTTCAATATGCTTATGTGAATTGTTTAACTGAGTTAATGAGTATTGCCGGTTAAGGCAAATGATAATTTTACATTCTCATTCTTACATGTGAAAATGTTTATATTTATAGGAATATATGGGGATTGCTTTTGCATGTTAAACTCCCCTAATTGGTTTCATTCAATCTCTTTCCACTCAACCCTAGGTTATGGTTGCGGGGTAAATACACACTAGGACTATACGCTCCAGTAAGGTGCCACCCCCATTAGTCTGCCATGACCACTCAGTCGATCGGATCCTAGCCGTCCACGGCCAATTGTGTCACTCGTATTGAATATTGGAAAACATAGTGATGGGTAAATACGTTCCAGGATTACCTGTGGGGTCGCCCAGCAAAGTGCCACCTGGTTGGTCCGTTAAAGCCACCCAGTCGATCTACTATATACCCACTTTGCAAAGTTGGAAAGCTTAGTTTATATTACAAGTAAAAAGGAACTCACTTGCACCTATAGGAAAAGCAGTTGACATTGTGCGAGAATGATGGCTATGTTGCCTTGGGTAGTCAACCTACACATACCTGTGAGACGACAAATTGACAAGACCAACGAAAGCGCGTCACGTCAAACCACTTGCATATGGAGCATTTAATGCTTAGCTAACTTACTTAGTATAAATAGAGGGAGGGGGAGGGGGGTGGTCCTCCCCTCATTTGTCATATTTATTACGGAGTACATTTTAATATTAGACCACTTCTAATCGTTTATACTATGTAATACAACATAGTCTTAGTCCACTCAGTCGTCCACCCGATCCGACTGACTAACTAAGCGTTGTTTTACTTGTTCATTACATATGTATTCGTAGCGTAATCGCGATCGATCTAATTTACACTATCAATGGTAATTAGTGAAGTGATAAATTGAGCTATGCATGTTATTAATTTGTTTCAGGACTAACTTATCACATGCCACTTGTTACTCTGAGACATGATAACCAACTCCTATGTTTTAAGTTAGAACTTTGTATTTCATTTTAAGTTAGGAGTAATGCCAATCAACATAACACTTTAGTTAGAACTTTGTATTTCATTTTAAGTTAGGAGTAATGCCAATCAACATAACACTTTAGTTTCATTTTTATTGCTTCGTACGAGGCCACATGTGAACATTGACTCTATCAGGGTATTTGGTTGGAGGGAGGGAATTACGTGAGAAATTAATTACAATTTCATGGGAGATAAATTATTTGGAATAAAGTGGAAATTTAAATTCCAGTGTTTGGTTTATAATAATATAATTACTGAAAATTTCAATTCCAATGTTTGGTGTGCATGGAAATTGAAAGGGAATAAGTAGTATAAAGTCTAAAATGCTTATCGTTGTTGTGTGCATCAATTTTAAGTTTAAAAAGGAGGGGTAATTTTGTTTCATGATTATCTGTTTTTCGTCCTAAAATCCATGGAATTAAAATCTCAGGGGGACATGAGATTTTAATTCATTGAAAATGAGAGAATTGCAATTCCGTGAAGTTGCAATTCCTTCCAACCAAATTAAGGAATTTAGTAGTCTTTGGAATTAGGTGAGAATGGAATTTAAATTCCCTCCAACCAAACGCCATGTAATGCGTGGGTTCTTTATGCCTAAGAGCATCTACATCGGGGGTTAATATGGGGTTCATGTCGGTGGAAATAACTCAGATGGAGATCATACATTGATGTGGGGATTAATTGTTGAAGAAATAATTCTCCTGCAAGAGACAAGATATTGCAAGAATTGAATAAAAAAAAAAAACGTTGAAGAAACGTGTTAGGCGCAATTCGCGCCCGCCAACTGGCGGCCACCCTAACCTTTTCATTTTTTGTTTAAATGTCAAAATTTTTTTTTTCCTTTTTTCACCCATATTTTTTTTTATCTTTCTTAATCACAATTACAAAAACTCCAAAAAATCGGGGTTAAACTACTAGAAAAATAATAGAGTTAATTCCAGCAATGGTCCTCTGACTATATTGATTTTCCAAAATTAGTCCTTGACTTTTAATTTGGACACTTTAGGTCCCTTAACTTTCAATTTCTTTCCAATTGAGGTCCTTTCGTCATAATACGGTTAATTGAATTTTAAATGAAGGAGTAAACTCATCACTTGACCTGCCTATGTATTATTCTTAGTATTTCTATATGAAGATAATCTTAGTCGAAACCCTAAAATGTTCCTCGTCGTTCCCCATTTGCTAACTACTCGTGTGTGCGTTCCTCTATTATTGAGATGTTTACAAGGTATAACAGCGAAATACGAAGGGAGAAATACGAAGAATAATACATAGGCAGGTGAAAGGACGAGTTTACCCCTTCATTTAAAGTCTAATGAACCGTATTCAAACGAAAGGACCTCAATTGGAAAAAAAATTGAAAATCAAGGGACCTAAAGTGTCCAAATTAAAAGTCGGGGACTAATTTTGGAAAATCACTATAGTCGGAGGACCATTGCTGGAATTAACTCAAAAATAATATATGTACTCCCATAGAGTATAAACTCCTGCCACACGTGTACCAATAAATTCAAGTGAATGAAAAGAATAGTGGCCTACTTTATTATTTAAATCAATCAATGACACTTGAAGTACAAAATGAAGTAGAAAGTGAGAGTACGTGTAATATTAGTCAAATTACTATGGATGCTCTAACTGCTACTCCTGTCCAGTATGCAACATTATTTATTAGCAATTTAGCATGTATATGATAGCTCGGAAAAAAGACTATAATGTGACAAAGGGCTGGTCCATTTCCAAAAATATGACACTTTTTTTTTTTGGACTAAAATGTGAAAAAAAACGTTTGGGACATGCGTTTTTGGCATGTCCCAGGTTTTTTTTTTTTTTTTTTTTTTTAATACTTTACCAAAGACACATCTGAGGATTGCGTCTATGTGAAAAAAACGTTTGGGACATGCGTTTTTGGCATGTCCCAGGTTTTTTTTTTTTTTTTTTTTTTTTTTTTTTTTTTTTACTTTACCAAAGACGCATCTGAGGATTGCGTCTTTGGTATTGTATACGGCCTTCGCATTTACGAAATGCAATCGCCGTATATCAATAGCATACGTTAAAACGCATGTAAGCTTTATTGCAGGATAAGTTTTCACTCGCACCCTTCTGAATTGAAGACAATTCTCCAATTGTCAGCCATGGCGGCGCCTCATATTTTCCGGCCAAACCTTATCCTCATCATTCTACCCATACTATCCCTCCTATTCATCTCCACCGTCGCCGCCGCCGCCGCCCCGAGCTCGAGTCTCTCCTCGCCATTAAAGCGGCCCTTCAAAACTCCGATACCAAGATATTTGATACCTAGAACGCGCGTCATTCTCCCTGCGATTTTCCCGGAGTTACATGCGATTCAAATGGCTCAGTCAAAGAAATCGAACTTTCCCGCCGAGGCCTCTTTGGCTCGGTCCCTTTCGATTCTATCTGCTCTCTTAAATCTCTGGAAAAGCTCTCTCTGGGATTCAATTCACTTTCCGGCGGAGTCTCCGACAGCTTGAAGAAATGCGTTAGTCTAACGTATATAGACCTTGGGAATAATTTATTCTCCGGACCGGTTCCGGGAATGTCTTCACTCACTCAGATGACGCATTTGTACTTGAACAACAGTGGGTTCACCGGGAAATTTCCCTGGAATTCGCTGGAAAATATGACGAAGCTGGAGGTTCTTAGTCTCGGGGACAATCCGTTCGACAGGACAACATTGCCGGATTTTATTGTAAAGCTTACGAATTTGAATTGGCTGTATTCTCCGGCGCTGACCGGCGATTAAAACACATGTACGAGATGCGTTGGACGTATAATACTCCAAACGCATCTCGTACATGCGTTTTAACGTATGCTATTGATATACGGCGATCGCATTTCGTAAATGCGACGGCCGTATACAATACCAAAGACGCAATTCCCAAATGCGTCTTTGGTAAAGTATAAAAAAAATAAAAAAATAAAAACCTGGGACATGCTAAAAACGCATGTCCAAACGTTTTTTTTCACATTTTAGTCCAAAAAAGAAGTGTCATATTTTTAGAAATGGACCAGCCCTTTGTCACATTATAGTATTTTTTCCTGATAGCTCTAGGGACTGGTGGAATCAATCAATCAAACCATGTGTATCATCATTTGGTGATGATCAATTTGATTATACTGATTCAAGATAGAGGGCTAATTAGGGATCATTCTTCAATTGGTTTTATTTTTCGATCAACATTGAGGGTGAGGTTCTATGTTCTTGCTCCAGAAAATGTTCAGACTCAAAAGTACAATCCCCACCAGCGCCCCCGTTAAGCCCTTTTCCTTGTCCCGCCACCTCTCCGCCTCTCTCACACTTCCAGCGCCGCCGTTGCCGCCGCCGTCGGCCCAACCAATAGACGCTGTTACGCTCTCCAACCGCATCCTCAAGGAAGACCCAAAGACCCTAGCTTCAACCCTCCACAACTTCACCCAATGGACCCCAGACCTCGTCCAAGCCGTCCTCAAGCGCCTCTGGAACCATGGCCCTAAGGCGCTCCAATTCTTCAACCACCTCGATCGCCACCCATCTTACGCTCACTCCGCCGCTGCATTCAACCACGCCATAGATATCGCCGCCCGGATGCGCGACTACAGGACTCTTTGGAAGCTCGTGGCTCGGATGCAGGCCCGACGGCTCGGCCCTCGCCCCAAAACATTCGCTATCATCACCGAAAGGTACATTTCTGCTGGCAAATCCGATAAGGCGTTGAAGGTTTTCTTGGCTATGCATAAACACGGTTGCCCCCAGGATTTGAATTGTTTCAATACATTTCTTGATGTGCTCTGCAAATTGAGGCGTACGGAGATGGCCTATAGGCTGTTGAAGATGCTTAGGGGTAAATTCAAAGCTGATACTATTACCTATAACATAATTGTGAATGGGTTTTGTTTAATTAAACAAACACCCAAAGCTCAAAACATTTTGAAGGAAATGGTAGAGAGAGGATTGAATCCAACCATAACGACGTATAATATAATGCTTAAAGGCTTTCTTCGAGCCGGTCAGATTAAGGAAGCTTGGGAATTTTTCTTGCAAATGAAGAAGCGGAAGTGTGATATTGACATAGTGACATATACAACTATGGTTCATGGTTTTGGAGTTGTTGGTGGGGTTGATAAAGCTCGGAGGATATTTAATGAGATGGTTGGATCGGGTGTGCTTCCTTCGGTTGCAACTTACAATGCTTTGATTCAAGTGTTGTGTAAGAAGGATAGTGTGGAAAACGCGATTTTGGTGTTTGAGGAGATGGTGAGGAAAGGTTATGTGCCTAATACCGTGACCTATAATGCGGTTATTAGGGGATTGTGTCATAGAGGGAGGATGAATGAGGCTATGAAGTATTTAGATAAAATGAAGGACGATAAATGCGAGCCAAATATTCAGACTTACAATGTTATTGTCCGCTACTATTGTGATGAAGGAGAAATCGAGAAGGCGGTAGAGGTATTTGACAGAATGAATTGTGGGGATTGCTTACCCAATCTGGACACGTACAATATCTTGATCAGCTCAATGTTTGTTAGGAAGAAATCAGATGATTTGCAGGTGGCTGGCAGGTTGCTAGTGGAAATGGTTGGTAGAGGGTTTCTGCCTAGAAGGTTCACCTTCAATCGGGTTTTAAACGGGCTTTTGCTCACTGGCAACCAAGATTTTGCCAGAGAGATCTTGAGGCTGCTAAGCGAATCTGGCCGTCTTCCTCGCCATTTCAAATTGTGAATCTATTGCAGTTTCCCGCAAGATTATGAGCAATCCTTTTTGCACATGGAAAGTTATGAGACCGTTGATGTCTTTGTTGCTGAAACGAGGAACCTGACAATGAAGACAAGACCTACCAGTGCAAGTTGATTTGAGAGTTTTGTAAACGAGGTTGACAGACCAAAACAGGATCTCAGTCCAAGAACACAAAGAGTTGCCAATTTCTCCCCTTTGCTCTTGTAACTAAGGTAACTAAGGCCAATGTTTAAGCTTCTGATAGCTGTGATAGAATAGAGATGATTTTTTCTCTGCAAGAGCCTACCATCAATTTATCCTTCTCAGTATCACAACCAAAGGTATTGAATTCAGCTTGGCTCGAGTTGTTTTAAATAAACTGTTTGGGGAGTGGAAGCATATATCCTAACTTACTGTATGAAGCTATCCACCTAAGTCCAATTGGCTAAATTTCCAAAACAATAATTCTCTAAAGTATTTTACTAGGGAACCAAAAGAAATCATCATATAATCACCCTTCTTGGGGAAAATTCCTCTTTTCTGCTTCAGGTATTTCTATACATTCCATTTTAGTTTTACTATTATTTTCTGAATTTCTTCTAGTTCAAAAAAAAAGTTTTTTTTTTTTTTTTTTTCTTTCTTTTTGCTGCAAAAGTGTTCTCTAAGGAGTAAGGACCTTTCTATATTGAAATGTTAATTGTGTCGTGGGGCAGATCTGCTATTAGTTGTGGAAGATTTTATACCTACATTGCAATTTCTTGCCCTTGCCAACAAAGGCGAAATTCCCCCCACCCCGACTCGATAGGGCAGTGAATGGCTAAATCATGGTGACTTAGCAGCCCATTAGGTGAGAGGACCAGTGCTTGGCTACCATAAGGAGCCTAACGCTATGGGTGTAACCCCTACACTGTGGTTGTCACTTGTCCACAATATACCACCTAGGAACCAACTGAGCTACCCATGCGGGTTGCATTTGCAATTTCTTAGTCAGCTCATTGAGCAGTCACTAAACCCATATTTATTTATTTCATTTCTTCATTTTGTTAGTTGGCTTTAGCTCTAAGACAATGTTACATGAAATTTAGTACTATTTAATGTGGCTTTCTTTGATTAATCCATAATTCCATAGTTCCTGTACATAACAGTTATGTACATTTAAGTAAAAAACTCATCTTTAATGTGTCTGGTGTTTTTGTGACCACAGATTGTCTTATACAAGCTGCACTTTGGTATGGGTTTGTTGTCCACTTGAGAATCTATCCTATAGTGTATTCACACCCAATAATTTTGGTTCTTGATCCTCTAAACTTCCAGCCTAGTAAGAAACCCACACTTACAGATTGGAGTGCTAGAAAGCCCCAGGTAGCAAAGAGTTGAAGTCGTAGAAAACTTCCTGATCTGCATTCTCTTTTGTGTTTCTTCACGAGCATGTTTACTTGGAGGAGACTTATGTTTGGATTTATTTCTGGTTCTGTGTTCTTTATCTCAACTGGATTTTTCTTATATCTATATGGATGGGAATTCTTGAATGAAGCGCTGCTATATCATCTCACTCGTACAGACCCGAGGCCCAATTTTTCGATATACTTCTACCACATATATCTGAATTATGAACGCGATTTCTCAATCTTGGAGAAACTCATTTCTTTTCTTCCTCAGATTATGGTGCAGCTTGCTCTCATCTTCTGTTTTGCCCAGGACTTCCCACTATTGCCCTTGATACTGCCGTGGAGTAATATGAAACTGAAAGGTAAGGGCTTGGCTTGCATAGTTGCATTCTTTTGTGGATTGGAGCTCAGACACACTGGTTGCTGTGGGGTTTTTTGCTCGAATTCAAAGAGAAGAATGTCTTCATCCAACTTTGGATAGCGAGTTTGCTGTTCTTGGCTGCAAATACGTTTGTCGTTACCAGTATTATAAGGCAACACTATTACTCTCCAGTCTCGCCACTCGCAACATGGAGTTTCAAACAAACAAAACTGTGAAACACGAATAAGGAATCCTCTCCAGTCTGTCTGGAGAATTGCTTGCTTGAGCCTGCAATGGACATAACACCTAAGGAAGATAAAGCTATGCAACTATTGGAAATGATATTTGCCATGTAAATGTGAAATTGGATGCTTCCATAAATAAGAACAAAAAAAAAGGATAATAAAAACATGACATGAAAAATGATATTTGCCATCTAATTGTGAAATTAGATTTACATATTTTATTGATAGTCAATATCTTTTAAAAGTGTACTTATGAACTTATTTGGGTTTGAATTTTGTAGCTATTAGGATCATACTTTGCTCTTGATGATTTCAAGTGTCAATGGCAATGAAAATTCTTGGTAATGTAGGGTTACCATTGCATTAAGTTTTGCCTCAGCCAGTTCTTCCAAATGAGAAACACAAATGAATAGTTACTTAAACAATTGATGCTTCTTGGTTTTTATGGGAAAATGTCAAATAGGCTCTCGAACGTTACTTAAAAAGTTAATTAGAATTCTAAACTTTTTAAAATTGCAATTAAACCCATCATCTCATTTTGGTGTAATGAAGTCCAAAAATTGATTACTGACCTACTATCTCAGGTCACTAGGGTTTTGGTCAACATTCGCCAACTCCGACGACATGCCTTTGAATCAATGGAGGCAACCACTGGGTTGCCTTCTCCGGCAGAGACAGTCACGATAGTTGCCTGTTGCCTTCTACGGTGAAAAGGCAACCGTTGACCGTTCTACGGTCACTAGTTACTTTGTTGGCCAGAATTTCTACTCAATCGCAAAAAAGGTCTAAAACAGAGAAAAAGCAAGGATTTCATTGGTCAATCCCTGATTCCCTGCTACTTATTACGGAGTATATATAGAGATTAGATATAGTTACTCTAGAGAACAATAAGTATAGTCTGAGACTGTCTCACCATGAGACCGCGTAATACTTTTTTAATTATAATGTACTCCGTAACACTTTTTATAAAGATATAGAAAAATATTACATTTTAAGTAAGACGGTTTTACTCAAGACTAGAAGAGTTACTTATTAGAGAATAACCAAGCATATATGTTTTACATATATGATCGCATCCGAGGCCTTACTAATGATTGAGCGCCATCGACAAAGGTGGTGGTTCCAGTCATGTAACGCGAGTCATCACTGATTAAATAGATGACGGTTGAAGCGAGGTCCTTTTCAACGTCAAGCCAACGGTTGAGAGGCGCTGCTTCCCCGACCAACTTCTCTGCCCGCTCTTTTCCAACTGATAATGGATACTCGTCGTGGAGATGCAAGCCCCGAGCAATTCCATTCACCCTGATTTGGTGCTTGCCCATCTCCATTGCAGATAGCTACACAAGTAGAACAATGTTAAGAAGTAAGAAGAAATGATAAAGCATTGCTAGCAAAGTTATACTACACGTACTCCCAATTCTTACTCCCTGATGTGGCGGACACTGATAAGCTATTTTTTTCATGTAGGCGCCACTAAAAGTGTCAACATCAAGATTTTGAGTGTGAGAGTAAAAGTTGAGAGTATAGAGTGAGAATTTACTATCATATTTTCTTTGCTAGAAATGAATTGCCTCATATTGGCTTAATATGCATCAAATCAATTGATAAGATGACTTGCCCTGACTAGCTGTTGGACCCCGGCCAAACATGAGCCATATGCAGCAGCGCCTTGATATAGTCCTCTCTCCGCCCCTATGATCGAGGACAAATATACAATGGATCCTCCAGATTTTGTGTCCCGCATTCTTTTGCACACAGATTTCAACAAAAACCAAGCCGCCATGAAGTTTATCTTGACAATCTTCTTGAACTCATCTTCGCCCAACTGCAGAGGATCTTGCATCTTCCCTGTTGCATTTTATCAGAAGCCCTAAGCAACTTGGTATCTTGAAGGGAAATTACTACAAAACATTTTGTTCACTTCTAGAACAATAATACTTCTTCGTATATGGTTCAAAGATCAATCGAAAGAACAGTTATGATATCAATATCACACAAGTTATGTCTAAGTGTCTAACAGTTAATTTTCAGAGAGACTAGCTGATTTATCCTCCTGCTCTCCCGTACTCTGCAGTCTACCTTCATTGCCTATTCTATATATGATGCCATTATGCTAATATTGCAATTTAACCACTATAATTTCCTACCTATAAAAAACGCATTCCACTCTTTATATCTCAAGGACAAATTAAAGGTGGTACAGAGTCACCTTCATAAGTATAGCAGTGTACTAAAGCATCCAAACAGCCCAAAATCTTCCACGCCTTCTCCACTGCTTCATCAAAAGCCGCTTCTCTTTCTTCTTCCATATTCAAGCCCACAACCTCCACTACCACAACACTACCATCTAGAGATTGCTTTATCATCTTAGCTACACTCTTCAGTCGGCTCTCGTTTCCCATTAAAACCAACCTAAGAAATATTCATAGCAACAGTTCACGAAACTTTTCTTCAACCATACAGATGTAATCGAATTTGAAACTAGAATCACAAATAAAATTGAAATACATGCTCCGTTTAATAATAAACCAGATAGAAATGTGTATGAACTTTGAATTGAGGGAGAGAATTTACTGGCAACCCCGCTGTGCTAAATGGCGGGCAATGTTGTTGCAGATCTCATCACCATTGGAGGTAAGCAAAACCTTCTTTCCAGGATTTTCCATGCTCCAAACCGATTCAGGAATAGATCAACTCTCTAACATAATCCAAAAGGGATAAATCAAGGCAAGCCTTTTATAGACTTAGATAACTACATTTACCCATCTAGAGTATCCAGAAAACACAAAAGGAAATAACATATGAGCAATTTCACATTTGAATGCAAGCAAAGTAACTATACTGAAGACCCAACTTTTCTTTTCTATCCAGCAAACCAAATAGATCATAATAGCCCCAGTACACGTGCCTTGATCATAAAGTTCACAACTCTCAATCAATTGAAACAATCTGTGTTAGGAATTTTCACCAAGAATTTTGAAAAATAAAATTCCCCTCAAAAAAACAATATGGTTAATCCAAGACGTGAATCACACGGCAAACCCTATGCACTATACAATTCAAACTCTTCAACAAGTAGAATTGTATTGTATATATACAAGTGCAAACCCAAATCCCTTTTTCTATTGTGGAGTCCAACCCCATTTTTTACAACTCAACCGATATAGAATCAATTTTTCATTCACGGATTATCGTTTTGAGGGTATAATATATCAAATTAAATATCTGAACGCGAACTCACTCTGATCCAACTCAAATCATAAGTGGAACTCACTCAAAACTTTGCCTCAAAATGACTTTAAATGCTATTTTTAGCTAATTTCCCAACACTGGCTGCCCAGCCACACAAGAATTAGGCCTGAACATGCTCAGGAAGTAAGAAACCATACACTTTTCCCAGATTTCTTTTCAACACCACAACACGATTTTCCACTAAATTTCAAGAAATAACAGAGAAATTCAAACGCGAGCCCAAAAAATCTTCTCTCTTTTTTTTTTTTTCCCAGCAGACAGAAGAGATTGATAACAGAAAACATCAATTGATCACCATATCAATCAATCTACACGCAGGCACAAAAGCATAATAAGCGGTGGCGATAGTCCACGAAAGAAAAGGAACCAAGAAAAATCTCACCTGTTGCCGTGCGTCCGGAAAAGCCGAATGCAGAACACCAGAACGCAATTGGCTTTTGTAGAAACACCGCACAGAAAAACCGAATTCCGAACAGCAGAGAGTAATTGCTACCTGTTGAAGTGTTGAGTGTTGAAACACTATACATGGCAATGGCAGCATTAATTAGGCCCCACCAGAATTTAGTTGGAATACGACTTGAATCAAACGCTATACCAACTATGAACTGTGTATAACTTATATATAAGTTTTTTATTTTAACTCCACATTTAAGTACCTTGCCGGTAGGTCTTGAAAATGGGTGAATGATAAAGGCTATACAAACAATCGTTATATCCTACACCACGGCGCACATAGCATTGTGCGCCGCGCGCCTCCCAAAACGACGTCGTTTTGGAGTCGTGTTGGGAGGCGCGGTAGGAAGTTGCTGGGATTATGTGTATTTGTTCACAACGTTATGTGTATTAGTTCATACAGTTATGTGTATTTTTTATACAATTATGTACATTCTTTTTATACAATTATGTACATCCGAATTAGAAAATTTGTGTGTATTATGTTAAGAGTTGATGTGTATTATGTTAAAAGTTTATGTTTATTAAGTATTATGTTAGATTATGTGTATTATCTTTTAAAAAGAGTATGTATATTTTGTTATATAATTATGTACATTCATGTATACAATTATGTGTATTCAAGTATAACATTATGTACATTCTTGAACAGCGAGTTTTTTTTAAAGCAAAAACTACTGCCATTCACTGGGGTGGGAAATTTCAAAAAAAAAAAAAATTAAAATGACGTCGTTTTGCATCTGGGCGCATAGTACAACGCGCGCCGTGGTGTAGGATATAAATTGCCCTATACAAAGGCATCGTTCGCAGAGGAAATTGGGTAGGGATTGAGAATGGGTTGTGGGTAAGTGGGTTTGGGTATTTGTGGGTAAGTGGGTTTGGGTATTTAATTTAATAATAATAATAATAATAATAATAATAACCGGTTGTGGGTGTGGGACTGTGGGTACTGGCTATTTAATAATAATAACAATAATAATAATAATAATTACAGAAAAAAATCATTTTGAATTTTAATTATTAAAATTAAAATAATTTAATAATATTTTTTTCAAATATAATTTAATTATAATTAAATAAATTAAAATAATTAACTTATGCCCTAGAAAAAGTATAGATGTTGATTTAAATTTTATAATCAAGAGTTTATATATTTTGTTATATTTATAACTTAAAATAATACCATACACTCATACCCTTAAATGTCATTTTACATGCAATAAGTTAATAGTAATAAGCTAATTTACCAAATACTTTTTTATAACCAACTAATACAATTAGTTGGTCAAACCAACTAACACAATCAGTTATTAGTTATCATCTAATTCGATCAGCTATCAGTCATTTGCCAAACACCCCCATGTAAACGTGAAGAGCTATTTATATTGACTTTAAATAGCTTGTGTCATGATGATATCTTGCAAGTGTATTGACGACGTGACACTCTTTAATTTGACTAATGTAGTTAACTGGGTCAAACGATGTGATAGTACTCCATAGCTATGTCAGGTTACCTCAATAATGTCGTAGGCGTAAATTGGCTAGTTTAGCTCTTGCAACATATGTTGTGATGATCAACATTAATCTTGATCATCTAGACTTGGATTAGCCCCTATCAAAAGTTGATCCTTGTGTTTGAAAGGTTTTTATTTAAGCCAATTTGCATGTTTATAACGCTACCAATCATGTATATTATACTTGATTATATAATGAATTATTGACACTAAAATAAAAAATAAAACTCGTATACACATGATGATTTTTTTGTTTAATCAGAACTACCACGAAACTAAACAAGTAGGGATCAAAATGTCAATAAACACACATGTTTATCAGTTGGGATGCAAGTGCTCTTTTTTGTCTATAATAAAAATAATATTGAAGTGGAGCACAAATCTAACCTAAGTGAGGTTGTTATAATACATAAACAGGATATGCAAGTAGCCCAAAAGGGAAATAAAACAAGAGACAACCAAGTGAAGTCAATTGTGCGCTATGAAGATGATGTATATGAAGGACCAATGCCCCTATTTATAGGAGTAAGGAAGTCCAAAATTCATAGAGAATGATTAGCTAACAATCCTGACATACATTACCTACCCATCACCATAGACTACATGTGCCTTGTTGCAAGAAAGTTGGAGATAAAAGGCTGTTTGTTTAGCCACCTATCGCCAAACTGCCCTACTACCCTCCCCCCTCCCCCCCCCCCATAGTCCTCCCTTCATCACCTTTGAACTTTGCGACTATAAGCTTTTTGTCTCTACACTTTTTGGACTCTAAACTTTCATACATTTTCACTTTTTAGACGAAAACATTACACCCTTATACACTTTGACTCCAAATTCATAATCTTTACTATTAGGACCTACAAACTTTTCATCTCTTTCATAAATATGTACCCTATCCATAAATTCTTTACATTCCAACCTCGTTAACTTTGCACCCATAACTTTTTTCTTATTGTTTAAATCCCCCAACTTCGTCCATAGGCTCCAATAACTCTCTGAACCTAATTAACTTCTAGACCTCCACTTTTCAAGTCCAATCAATTTTAAATTCATGCCCAATTCCTCCATCAACACAATTCATCATATATAAATACAAGGATAAACTCGTTTAAAATAAATACAAGGATGTTCGGGTCATGGGCCTTATCTTCCTACCAGAAGGATGGTCGGCCCGCCAGGCCCTTTACGTTCGAACCCTGTGAAATCCGAATACCTGCCCAACCCGCCCCGCAGTCCCGGGTCTGCATCTCTCCTTCGTCCACGCACTACCATTTCTCTGCGTGGTCTCGCCATGACCACGTTCACCAGCGACTCTTCACATCAATGCGTCGCCATCTCGTGATCTCCCCGGCGATTCAAGAACAGCACTCACTTCATGAACTTCATCGCCGGCGCTCGAAATGGTAAACCCCCCCAAACTCAAATCTGTTCATTCCCTGATTCACCGCCGCCAAACCAATAATAGTATTCACTCTTATCATCTTTGGTTTTCATCGAAACCCGATATTTCTGAACTCTCTGACTTTCGAAGCAATCAGCAGTACGGAGAAAATTCATCATCGCACTTAGTTTCTAAGGTCTGTGAGATTTTGACAAATCGTCTGTTTCAATGGCAACGGAGCTCGGAGCTCAATTATTTGAGCTCTGAGCTAAAACCGCGCCACGTGGCAAGGGTAGTTGAGATCCATGAGAACACTGACATAGCTTTGCAGTTCTTCTATTGGGTTTCTAAGAGGCATTTTTACAAACACGATATTGATTGTTATGTGTCGATGCTGAATAGGCTCTTGCGGGACAAGAAATTTGAACCAGCTGATCATGTTAAGATTTTGATGATAAAAGATTGTAGAAATATGGAAGAAATGAGGAGGGTCGTTGAGTGTTTGAGTGAGATTAGGAAAAAGGGTCTTGGGCATGGTTTGTATAGTTATAATACTTTGTTGATTCAGTTAGGAAAGTTTGACATGGTTGAAGCTGCTCGGAGTACTTTTAGGGAAATGTTGAACTATGGGATCCAGCCTAGCTTGCTAACTTTTAGCACTATGATTAATATATTGTGTAAGGAAGGGAAGGTGCAGGAGGCTCGTGTGATTTTGAGTAAAATGTATCGGCATGAGATGAGTCCAGATGTTTTCACTTACACATCCTTTATGCTCGGGCATTGCAGGAACATGAATCTAGATGCAGCCTTTGTGGTTTTTGATAAGATGGCAATGGAGGGAATTGATCCAAATGCAGTTACTTATGCAACTCTTATAAACGGGCTCTGTAATCAGGGGAGAGTTGATAAGGCCTTGGATATGCTCAAGGAGATGACTGAGAAAGGGATTGAGCCAACCGTGTACACTTACACAGTTCCAATTACTTCATTATGTGCACTTGGACATGTAGAGAAGGCTATTGATCTAGTCCTGAGCATGAGAGAGAGGGGTTGTAAGCCAAATGTTCAAACATACACTGCTCTTATTAGTGGGCTTTCTTGTTCCGGTCGCCTTAATGTTGTCATTGGTTTGTTCAACAAGATGTTCAGAGATGGTCTAATTCCAACTATAGTGACATTCAACGCATTGATCAATGAATTATGTGCAGGGGGATTCCTCAGTGCTGCTTGTAGTGTTCTCCAGTGGATGAAGACTCATGGTTACCCACCAAATGCTGAAACCTGCAATGCTCTTATTCATGGGTTCTGCTTGGTAGGAAACATAGAGAGGGGAATGATTCTATTCAATGAAATGCTAAAGTTGGGGCCCTCTCCAACGGTGGTTACATACAATACACTTATCAATGGCTATCTTGAAAAGGGTTTCCTGGAGAATGCTGTTAGATTGTTGGATTTGATGAAGAACAATGGACTTAAACCAGATGAGTGGACTTATGCACAACTTGTTTCTGGTTTCTGCAAAAGGGGGAAGCTTGATTCAGCTGCAGCTTTCTTCAGGGAAATGATTAAACAAGGTTTGAGTCCAAACCAGGTCAATTATACAACACTGATTGATGGTCTTGCAAAGACAGGAAAACTGGATACTGCAGTTGCTTTATTTCAAAAAATGGAGGAGACTGGGTGCAGTCCAGGTATTGAAACTTACAATGCCATTATAAATGGCTTATCAAAAGGAAACAGGCTTTCTGAAGCAGAGAAAATGTGCAATAAATTAACCGAAAATGGTCTGCTCCCTAATGTCATTACCTACACAACATTGATTGATGGGCTGTGTAGGAATGGTGGGACACAACTTGCATTTAAGATATTCCAAGAAATGGAAAAAAGGAATTGCATGCCAAATCTGCATACATATAGTTCACTTATCCATGGTTTATGTCTTGAAGGTCAGGCAGATGATGCAGAGATGCTACTCAAAGAAATGGAGAGGAAAGGATTGGTTCCTGATCATGTGACATATACTTCACTAATTGATGGGTTTGTTGCTTTGGGTAGAATAGATCATGCATTCTTACTTCTCAGTCAGATGATTGATAGTGGCTGCAAACCAAATTATCGAACCTATATTGTGTTGGTGAAGGGATTGCAAAGAGAATCTCAGTTAATTGCGGAGAGGATTGCAGTTCAAAACGAGACAGTATACGGCTATTCAGATGGGAAGGATTCTAGTATTGATTTTTTATGTAGTTTATTAGATAGAATGTCAGAAAGTGGCCATGAACCCAGTGTAGATACATACTCTACCTTAGTTGTCGGTCTGTGTAAAGAAGGTAAAATTTACGAAGCAGAGCAGTTGGTAACACAGATGAAGAGCAAAGGATTATGTCCAAATGATGCAATAGATTGCTCTCTTTTGTGTGCCTATTGTAAGGAATTGAAAGTGGGCCCTGCTCTAGAAATTTTTGACTTGATGGTTTTAAAAGGTTTTAGGCCTTCCTTATCAATTTATCAGCTACTTATTTCATCTCTTTGTAAAGCAAGCTGGGTAAAAGAAGCTGAAGCTTTGTTTATCAGCATGCTTGAGAGGCAGTGGAACTCTGATGAGATTGTTTGGACTATCCTGATTGATGGTTTGCTTAAGGAGGGGGAATCAGAAATGTGCATGAAGCTTCTACATGCCATGGAATCCAAGAATTGCCCTATAAATTTGCAGTCTTATCTTATCTTGGCAAGAGAATTGTCTAAAGCAGATAAATCTATTGATGCTAGGGAAATTGCTAATAAGTTCAGAATTGGGAGAGATGAAAAATGAGTGCAATGTCTTTCTTGCGTCAAGCCTCTGAAACATGGTGTTGTCTAATACGGATTAGACAGCTGTATCTCCATTGACAGCCCCTCTGTGATGCATTGATTTTAATGTAATGCATCTTTGAGAAATTGCTCTGTGGTTTTTCCTCCCAATTAATTCAATGGTCAGAAGATGATGGACTTTCATCTCTTTCTGGTACTGATATTCTCATATTCTTTTGTTTATATTTCTTTTAGTTTCATTTCTTCAGAGAGTCTTAAAAGAAACAGACACTAAATCATATCATTTTACCTTCTGTTACAGAACACCCATCAGAGCAAATGCGTGGTGGCAAAATGCTGCCTGAGCTTCAGGGAGGAGCAGTTAGTCATTTTCAGGTAAAAAGCACAAATCAGCCTCTTGAGAAAAAAAAAAAAAAAAAAAAAAAAAAAAGATAGATCGTTTTCATGCATGCTGTTTGACACTTTGACCCATGAACCGAGAAATTTCTAGTTTTGGTACACCATCACATTCATTTTCCAAACTGGATTAACTTTACTGATCTAGAAATTCACTTTTGATCCCCTTATTTCCTCAATTCAATATTACAAAACCCATGTTGATATTCTTATCAGACATTCAAGCATTTAAAAAACCCAAATTCGATATTCTTATCAGACCTTCAAGCATAGGTCCTTTATGACCTTTGCTTCTTTGCTTTAGAGTCCGAAGACTGCAGAAAACTAGTCACTAAGCTATCAATACTACTTGAAGTATCTTCAGATGAAAAATGATAGAAATAGTTATGCAAACTTCAGAGGAATCGCCATGCAAATGGAAAACTGACATTTTTCTGTGTTCCATCACAGGATGCAGGATCAATCACATACACAACTGCTTGGTAACATGTCCATACATCTCGCTTGTCCATCAAAGATGATAATGCAAATTTGAGGTACTCGGTAGAAGACACACACTTAGTTGTGACACCTAGCTATTCATTTCATTTCTTCTCTATTCTTTGTATCAGAAATCACATAGGTATATGATTGTTCCAATTCTTTTTATGAGTGAAGGAGTAGGTTGCCTTGTAAAATATAAATGGTTGGCGCGTTTTAAGTGTGGTAGATCATAGATGAGCCTGAAGGCTCTCATAAGAATACCGATAATAAGGTGAGAAATTTTTGGTATAGTGATCTTTAATATCATCAATCATCACCATTGATTTGGTGGATGTACTACTCACTCCTTTAATCTCTTGCATCATACAATTTGATTTTTGTTTTCAAGAAAAAACTGCTGTAAACATCACCACTCAATAATGCAAAACTTTTTGTGTGTTATCCTGAAAGGGATCTCACAAGGATCTTGTACAGAACAGAACCCAGAATTTGTATTTACTTCTTTGGCATTAACAGTGTGAAAAGATGACAGTAATGCTATTATTGCTGCCATGCCAAAATATTTAAATACTCAACAATAGCTTGTCAATGTCTTTTCTATTTATTTATTTATTTATTTATTTATTTTTGGAGCATGAGAAATTGGACCAAAATGAATGAAAACAGGAGAAAGGAACCTAATACCCCCAGGCCCCAATGTCCATTCTAGAATGTTTGCTATTTATTGACCCCCTCGGTTGATTCAGTGGTCACGAAAGCAGTCATAAATTTCACTCAGAATGAATAAATGAGAATTTGGATCTCATGAGCGCAAGCTTTTAGCTGTTTGTAGAAACTTTAGGTACTGGTATTTACCTGTCATATAATATTTGTGGGTCCGAGTAACGTGTCAACTTGTGGTTGGCAAAATTCAACATTTTCCAATTTCCACTATTTATTTGTTATAAATGATGAAATCATTATTTATTTTATTTTATTCTGAATAGCTTTCTCCTCTCAAGACCTCTGAATTTACAAGAGTGAATGGCTCAATATATGTTGTCTCTACAAGGCAAAGGTGGCTATTTAGATTCTCATGGCAGCTATTATTCCGGCGTAATTTGCAAGAAACTGCATCCAATTTCCATCATTTGCAAAAGATTTGGTTTTTTTTTTTTTTTTTTTTTCGAAAATACACCTCATAATCTAGTAGCATAATAATATTTCAATTCAAGAATAATACTATAACATCATGTTTAATTGACAAAATATATATAAAATGGGATTTATAGGAATACATGAATTTCATTGATTTTTTTTATTTAATAGCCTATTTTTCTCGTGAACTAAACTTACTTAATTTCATATTTAAAATGTCTTAAATTCAATTCTCATTTCTTTCAAAAAATATATCAAAAAAGATTCCATACTCGACATTTTTAGAAATAAAACGTCAAAACAAACAATATAATAGATCTCTACTTTCACGAATGCTATTTTATTCTCGACCTATTTTATGAACCAAACGTGTTGTATAGGTGTAAGACCATCTCCAACCCAAAACACCAAATTCTACACCAAATTTTACACTAAAAGAAATATTCTCAGCATATTCTTACACTAAATTTTTTTCATCTCCAACCCATTACACCAAATTCTGCACTAAATTTTTTTCTTTCATTAAAATAATTTATTTTCTCATAAATTAAGACTTTGTATTATAACTTTATATATTTTAATATAAAATATAATTATAATGCAAATATTATAAGTATTATAACTTTAAATATATGTTAAAATTATATTTATGTAATTTTATTTTTAATTAATTTATATTCAATATTAGTCTTATTTTAATCGTCTTGATAAGATCTTTCAAATGATATACTTTATTTTTAATATTATAAAATTTATTTTTAATAGTTTAACAAAGTATATAAATATATTTAAAAAATCAGGACATAAAAAGAATTAAGAATAGAAGGAAGGGGCAAAATTGGAAGCAAAATACCCCACCAACAGTGCAGTGCCATATTTGGCACTGCACTGTTCATGCTGCGCCAAATTTTTAGTGGGATGGCGCTCCATTGGAGCAGGGGCACGCCATTTTTTCCACCATTTTGGCGCAATGGCGTGCCCTTTGGAGATGGCCGAGGAGAAGAGGATTAGGAGGAATAGAAGCAAGACATCTCGAAACGAACATAAGATATGTGATCGCAGACATTTTTTCTTACAATTATCACTCGTTGACATGACATGAACGGAGATAAGAGAAAATATTGTTATTATTTCATCAACATGATTAATGGGTACCTTTAAATCATTGCTCCGGAAAGGATAAATCACACAAAATACAAGTCAATAAGAAGCCAAAAAGGAGAGGATATATTCAATCAAGCCCTTGTCTTGTCTGAATGGCCATTACCTCCCCAATCAGACCTCCAGCCACAGGAACACAACAAAAATATGGATAGACAAGAAATCATAAACACCTTCCAAAGCTCAACAACACATCTTAATCCCCTGTTAGAGAGTATTAGAGAATAGCATTAAAGACAAACCGACTCAAACAATACCTAACCTTGTATTCCCTATCACAAACCCTTCCAAACACTTTCATCCATCATTCCACCCTCATCTTTGGCCTCTTGTTCTTGACCTTTTGGCCTTGTAGAAAAGTCCCTCCGCTTTCACTTACATTAACCCATCCTAGACATAAGACATTATATCTCATATGTATTTATTGCAGTTAACATATTATATGTACTTGTAATTAAAACTGTCAAAATAGGCTTCGTCTCCCTGCATCGCAAAAAGAACAGGTCAGACTTTGAGTTTTATAGCCCGCCAAATTGGTGGGCCCCGACCCACTAGCCCACTTTGATAGCTCTACTTTCAGTTGCAATTAATATATTATGTACTTTCAATTTATTTACCAATAGTTATGCCAAGGACCCGGGTCCACCTTGCAAGGTGGACGCGGGTAAAAATACACCATTTATATATTGAATGTTCACAATTTACATACTGAAGGTTCACAATTCAAATTGTGAACATTCAGTATGTAAATTTTTAACATTTAGTATATGTAAATTGTGAACATTTAGTATATAAAATCGTGAACATTCAGTATATAAATTGTGAACATTTAGTATATGTAAATTGTGAACATTTAGTATATAAAATTGTGAACATTCAATATATAAATTGTGCATTTTTAGATTTGAGTCCACCTTACAAGGCCGATAAGGTGAACACGGGTCCACAAAGTAATTTGCCTTTATTTACAGGTATATAATTTGTTAACGGAATATACATAAGTTAATTGTATATACGGAATCTAGACCAGAGTTCATAATGCGCTGGTGGACCGTGGTACACGATATAATTTGCGAACTCATCTTACCTCAACACACCATTTCTTCTTGGACTTTGCTAGCCAGCAGCCGATTCTCAGCCCATCATACATCACCCTTGAATATAATATACCATTGAAAACATGTTAATTGGTGACACTCCCCTTTAAATATGCCATGTTTAGCAGCATAGGAGGGCCATAGCAACAGCATTACCTGTTTATCTGCATTTTTTCATATCTGTTTAAACAAGCTGTGATCATGGGGAGGGAAACCAGGGACCCGGCGGCTTTAGGGTCTTCAATTGCACTTCTGCAGGAAAGATTCAGGCAGCTGCAAAGGGCAAGAGAGCAGAGGGAGGTGAAGGAACTGAAGCTGCTGTTTGAGCCTCAAGTTATGAGTCCTGTGAAGAGTTTTGAGGCTGCAAAAAAGCCGGTTTTCGTGCAAGAATCGGGCTTGATTCCGTTTGGGGAAGGGGATAGGGATCCACTCACTCTTGGACTGAACTTGAGCAGCAGGCAGGCAGATTTTCAGGCTATGAAGAAAAGGGCATTATGGTGGGGTGATCAGAAGATCAGTGTGAGCACAGGATATAGAAAGATGGAAAACTGTGATGTGGATACCTCTCTTCATCTGTAGAATGAATCATTCTTTTCTTTTTCTTTGGTTCAGATTTTGTATACTCTTCTCTTTTTTCACACATTTGTCCTAGAGTAAAGAAGGGGAATTGAAAGCACACCAAATAAAAGGAGGACTCATGTTTGGTGATGATTCTGATGTTCAACTCTGTCACAAACCACTATCAAGTTTATGTTTTTAACAGCACAGACGAGACGAAAAGAAACAATAACGTCTAATAGAATTTAGGCAAAGTCACACCCACAACATTAATCCTTGATTTCCCTCTCCAAATTCTGTAGTTGAACCATACACTTTCAATGGTTTCCTTTCCACATCTATTGCAAAGGAAAGACCATAAAATAAACATCGTTTATACAACTTTAGGGTGATCAATCGAATCAACTGAGCTAGCTCCACGGGACTAGTGAAGTGCAACAAGTGTTGCCTCTGCGTCAAATGCAGCTGGCTTCGTGGTGGGGATTGTTGGACGGAGAACTAAAGAGTCAAGTCAGTATTCTGTTGTCGGTATACATTCAAAACAATGTTTGAAACAAGTATTAACACAGTACTAAAGGGAGTTCCAACTTTACCATATGTTCAACACCGAAGCTTCCAACCTTCCAGGGAAAGCTCATTCTGGGCTTCAATGTAATATGCCCAGAAAATGCCAATTGTTGTATCGTAGAAGTTGCCATTAGGGTTTATTTCTTGGAGATGAAGTTAGGAAGAAGCTTTCTGAAATGCGATTGAGCGAAAAGAGTATTTAGGTCTTGTTGGTCACAGTATCAAGTATCAACATCTCAGCTCTGTGAAAACGTTTAGACACTTTGTATTGGGACTATTTGAGTAATTCATTACTTCAAGCAAACTAAACCAGCAGCTGAGACAACAAAATTTGTGCACGTAATTTCATCATAGTTGTACAAAATTACTATGAACAGAACCCCCACTCCCCCCCCCCCCCCCCCCCCCCTCAAAAAAAAAAAAAAAAAAAAAAAAGAGCAATAAAATTGCAGGCTCACTCCATTGGGGAAGGGTCCTCCATTATTGCATCACCCTGAACACTCCCGAGCATGATTGCAGTCAGCATTAACTTGCCTGCATCGGGGAAATCCTTGTGCTGCATAAGTATTGTTTCCACGGAGGAAGCTGTACCTTTCAGGTTTTGAAGTTCGGAGCTTTCATGTCTCAGAGGTAGCACTTCGTTGAAACTGCCCTCGAAAGTTATTGCATTGGGCCCGTAACACCTGCTGGAAGCCTGGAAAAGTATGGTGTCTTGGAGAATGGATAGAGTCTCCTCGTCACTCCATCCCTCAGCTACAGAGGCTTGATATAGCTTTTCCCAATCATCCTGATTTGAAGCGTTTCTCCAGCACTCTTCCAAGAGACTCGTGTTAGATTTGAGAAAGGAGAAGCTTGTCCATGCAAATACATCAAAAGCTCTCAAAGAAAGCTCCCGGGTTTGACTCTTGAGGCACAGTTCAATTAGGTCCATTGGAGGAAGAAGCTGCCGCTGCCCAATGTTTTGCACTTCATCCTCTGGAAGCAGTTCCAAGATTATTTCCTGTAGGACAAATGGACAATCAAACTGTGTAAGTAAATGACGACGCCACATTAATTGGTTTGAAGGTTTTCCGCAGAAAGCAATCTTTCGTCCTTGGCACAAATCTAGAAGAGGCAAAGAATGATGGGCTCTAATTGTGTCAATTCTTCAAAATATATCAATCTTAAATTCAATATTAAAGGAATTCATTCATTGTTATTGAAAGAAGGAAATTATGGCTCCTAAGTCCTAACTACAATCTGAATAAAATTTTAACATGTTTGGTTTGCAAAATAGACCAAAAATGGAATAACATTCTTGAGAATAGACCTATTCTTTCGTTTGGTTTGGTTATATATTCCCAGAATAGCATTACTGCGAATGAGCTATTCAGAATAATTTTTTTTTTTCTATTCCTTCCGAAATCTTATTCCTATTCACTTTGTTTCATTGCATGAACCAATTACCAAACATGCAGTTAATTCATTTACAGAATAAGGCTCCAAGCTACAAGGCCAGAACTAAGGATAATTGTTTAGTCAAGATCATAAAGTTGATATTACTCTGTAGCAGTTTACAAGACTAAATAAGGAAATTATAGTCATCAAAATACAAAGCATCAACCACTAAAGATAAAACCAAATCACCAAGGAAAACAAGAATTACAATGCCAGAATCCTAGACATTGTATAAAAGTATATTTACCTGTAAGTTAAGAATTTTTAAATCAGCGTCAATTCGCTTCAACTTTGTCTCGAAATTTGCATCTTTCCCTGCCAAATGCCAAAATACTTATCAAGTCTCAGAAGAAAATCAGAAAGCTATATAGCAGTCACAAATTTAATTTCTTCTAACTTATTTATAGACAAGCAAACTTAAACACAAAAACTATTAGCAAAATAATCATTATGCTCCCCTTGAGGCAGTCCATTTTTTGTTTCTCTGACATCCTATTATCTATACTCTTTCTCCACAGAATACTCAATTCCTGTTATTGGTTCTACAGTTCCAATTAAGATGGTTCAACTATTTTCTCTGCAAGATAAAGAAGAAATTATTGGCTTCCAAAATTATGGTGAAGGAAGAAGATAGTTTCCTAATTTAGGAGGGCATCTTAAAATCATGCTTCCAAAGGATATGCTTCACTGAGGCAACTGAGAATAATTTCTACTAGTTCTTGCTGGATAACAGCAATATGAATAAACTTCAGATTATCTTAACATTGAAAATTAGTGGAGGAAAAAATCATTACAAAAAGTTTTTCCATGAATTCAATAACCTGCTGTTACCCATTTAACAGTTCTCTCTTAATTTACTTGGATTTATCTCATTACTGATAGTTTCACTCAAGAAACACACTGGGTTTGAACTTCGAAGAGATACAATCCTAGCATCACACAATGCCTAATCTTATTTGGAGTGTGCGTTCTATATGTATAGTTTGTTGATAATACAAAGAAGCCATAAAGCATAATATACCTGCCATTGCCGCTATCTTTGAGAGATTTAGAAAACGCTTTCTGTCTGACAAGGAGGCTCTCTTATTTGTGGCAAAAGAGAAGGTCTCCATATCTGAAATTGACCTATCATCTTGGGAGAGAGCCAAGACATGCAGGGTTTCTGTAGCAGAGGAAAACTGATGAAGAAACACTTCATGAAGCCAAAGGAGATCCTGGTGCTGCTTTAGAAAAATTGCTAGCTCTTCCTGAAATTCCTCCCCAAGCCTCATAAGCTTAGACCACTGTTTGTTATCATACAACTGTTGGAAGACAAAGTAACTAAACCCCCCTGTAGGTCCCATGCTCTCATGCTGCAAAAGAAAATTGCATTATTAATGCTAGACGAGAAATAAACATCACATCCAAAAAATTAATAGGAAATGTTCACAAAAATGACTGATGTAAGCAAAAACAAACAATACGAAAAGATTGAGGTATTATAATGCAAAATAGAAAATTTAAAAAAAACAAAACAAAAAAAAAAAACAAGCAAATAAATTTATACCATAAGAGTTCTAAGAAGATTTAGATCACTGAGGTCACTGCAAATATTCCATAGGGTTTGATAGCCTTCGTGTCTTTTAGCAATAGAGAACAAGCCTGAGGAAAGCTTTCTAAAAGTTTCTTCCTGATCCTGCTTAAATTCCTCCACAGAATCCTGCATGGTTGAAAGCACTTAGCAAGAAACATCACTGAAAGTACAAAGTAAACATCTATCTCCTTGACTCCTTCCAGTACTCCAGTTATAATCAAATAACTTTCCTATGACTAGACTAAGAAGCATTAGAGTAAAGGATATCAGACAAAGCAGTCTGTGCATAAAAGAATATATGAGATGCTTCCAAATGAAAAGAAGCCATAAAAAACATTTAGTAATAACATACTGAAACACCAATTCAACCTGGTTTTTGCCTTCAACAAAATCCTTCACTTGCTGATAAAGGCTGTTAAGGAGTGCATCTCTTCTGCTCCAATATTCATCTAATAAACCTTTATGTCCTTCTCCACATTCAATCCTTGCTGTAATTGCACCAGAATATGCTTCTAGTAATACATCAGAGAGTTTTTCGAGATGTGAATAAAAACTCAATTTCACAGCATCATCTACTGGATATTTTTGCTTAGACAGCTGAAGCATGAGAGATGCAATGCTCCAAAGCCCGTTACGTACTTTTTCTTGAGAATTCCATGGCATTAAACCCTCAGGTGAAGGATACCATAGGTGCTGTTCATTTCTGTAATTCATGGCAGTGCGAGTTAATATCACACATGCATTAGAGAGTTCACAAGCTCTTTGAATCTGAACAGAAAATGTCATCTCCTCACTAACAATGTACTCTAACTGTCTCTCCAGGCAATGAAAAAGTTCTTCAAGATCTGACACTTTACTGTAAAATACTTCAGCATTATCCCTGTCCATCAAAAGAACAGTTCTTCGACGAGCTCTTTCACCAACTAACTGAATAAGATCCCAAAGAGCGCCTGAGACTTGCATATCAGAATGCAAATAAGAGCCAAACCCAGTTCCACGGTTCTGGCTAATTGTGTTTTGGAGCTCCCTCAGTTGGATCATTGCAGCAAGCTTTTCCCCATGTTCCATGATTATTTGCAAGGAGTGTCCTGCAAGCAAAAGCTAAAAATTCTTAACCTTAAAACTAGAAAGGCATACAGAATCATCAAGGGGAGCTGCTGATATAGCCTTTTAATTGGTCTATAGGAAGAATTAAAGAAACATTATTTTATACTCACTAACAGCATGATATTGGCTAGTTAATAGCATAAAGAACTACAATATATGCAAACAATGAGCCAAAGGATAAAGAGATATAATAAAAAGTGTTTCTTCTATAAAGTTTGACCGCTAAGAATCATACAGGAATAAAGGATTGAGCAATTTAGTCCTCTTTGCAATTGATTACTTCAAATTTTCATAACAAATAAAGTTAAATAGAAAGATATAACACCACAAAGAATCACCCAAATAGGACAAAATTTGATACAAAATCCATCAGATATGAGATATTATTCTATGGCTTAAAGATCCATAGTTACTCAAACTCGATTTTCTTGCTCAAGTTTGGGAGACAAGCATCCCAATGAATCAACTTCAGCAAGAAGGATTCTGAATATGTGTTAAGTCTTGCATAAAGAGACATGTGGCAAAAGTCTAATACTAGGGGAGATGTATAGCCCTATATTCCAACTAATATCACTTAACCGGTTAACCCATATTCATCCTTGCAGGGATTAGTTTATAATATTATTAAGTATTACAATTATATACACTCAAACTAAAACCAGATCATTTAAACTGCATTGTAGTAGCATAAGGATGGAGGTGGATCATACTCTGTTTATAACATAATTCCTCATGGCACTTTGATAAAGCAAGGAACTGAAGGAACTGCTGATGTTTCTGCTCCTTCTCAATTAGTTGTGTGGTCACAACAGACAAAGCTACAATTTCAGCACCTCGTGTTGTTGTCCAATGTTTAGCAAGGGTATCTACAATTGATTTACTTGTCCTTACAAATACATTTGTATCCCCATCTCTTTCAAATGCCCCTGAATGTTTAAGTTTATCAAATGCACCATCAACCTGCCCAGATGAGAGGAAATCATGAAAAAGCTGATTTAGCAGAGCTTCTGACTCTTCATCTTGAGCCGTTCGGCGTGCAATTCCACTTAAACTAGACCTTTGTCTATCTCCAGCATCCCATGCTTCAGAGCTAGCCCTTCTTGGAGCAATATTTCCAGCAAATGATAAGCTTTTCTTTTCTTCCTGGGGTGACCTTTCATTAGAGCTACCTTTGCGTGACAAACTTCTCTCAGGTGGCTCAACCGCACCGAGTTTAACAGCCCTCTCAGGAATGGCCCAAACTCCAGCCTTCTCAGTGAGAACAGCCCATGCTCCTTCCCCATCATCATCAGAAGGGAAAACTGAAGCATCAATAACTTTTCCAGCATCATACGGAAGATCAAATTGGTAAAGCCTGGTGGAGTTTCCCCAGTAATGTGAGACAGTTGCAGTACCATCACCAGAAAGTATAATCACTGAACCAGCTGGTTTGCCCCCAATTTTCAATCTCATAGAAAACAAAAAATCTTCATCTTCTACTCTTGCTTTAGGTATTATCACTTGGGGGGGAGCTTGTTTCTCCAAAATCCTTTCATTTGTTGACTGAACACATTCTGAGTAAACATCTACCCCAGATTTGTATTGCATGGTTAGAAGCGAATACTCAGTGTAGCTTGAACTGGTTATGCGATCCTTGCAAAAGATAGCAATAAGAATAGTAATAACCTTGCCCTCATTGTCAATTTGCAGATCCAGAGGCCATATACGCTTCTGACCAGCCAGATCCTTTTGGATGCCCAGATCACTATCACTGCTAATAATTTCATGAGACCAGATCTTTGAAACAATATGATCAGGAGAAAGTTCAATTGAAAAACACTGTATTTCATGATCTGTCAGTAGAAGAAATTGTCTTTTAGGTTTACCAGAAGAATGAGACAGAAAATGCCAAACCAATGACCTTGGATATCCTCTGCCTCCAACAAAATGCCCACCATCATCACCTCGCGATATGTTCTGACAAATCCTTTTGCGGCAGATACCAGTGGGGCTGCAGAGAAATTGCCAAAGCTCACCACTAGAACTGCAAGCTAGGGCAATGCATGCATGATGCTGACAGTTCTCAGGGATAGCAGAAGCAATCAAAGAGTTGATGGAATTTAAGGTTGAACTGCTCCCTAGCTTATTGCGCTGCCACATTTTATTTGGTGTGGCTTTACCATCTACAGGAGAAAAGGTCAACTCCACCTCCTCAGGATCAGCATAACTAATAACTGGACTAGTCCTCGGTTCAGAGAATATGTCTGGCCAGTATACAAGAGTTCGACTTTTCTGATTACATGCAATAACACCAGCAGAACTGCACCGTTGGACAACTTTGTTGGTATGTTGCTTGTTATCCCAACTGACAACACTGACTAACCAGTTATCAGAACTGTAAGATTGTTTCCCTACATTATCGTTACCAGAAAAAGTAGAAGGAAGTTCAAGAACAACACAGTTCCTAGAAGCAGCTGAAGCCAAGTAACTCCAGATAAAGAGTTTGCTTCCACTGATAATCCAAGCCAAGAAAGTTTCCTTGTCCATTCCACCAGACATGGATGCACTACCTGACAAAATATGCAAATATATATATATGCACCTATCATTCTTCAAAGCCATGTTTAAGCTGTTAAGAGAAATGGAAAACAGAAATACATACACCATTACATTTTACAAAATGCTTAGAGGAAGAAATTAAGCACTAATAGCAAGGACATAAATGAACTCGCATCACTAACCAGGTGCATAATTTTGAAGCACAACAGCTTGCTGATCACGTAAGACTTGAGGAAACTCTCCAACAAATACAGGCTTTACCAGATCAGTGTCATCCCCTTTTTCGCTCCTCTTTGTAGGGGGGATTCTAAACATGTCAACAACAAAAACTATGACTGTTAGTTATCAGTTGGCATGGTATTAGCAATCTACCTCTCCAGTCTCCCCCATACATGAGCATATTGTTAATATACATATCACTATTTACTATAACTTTTTGCTCAACTACTATATATCACACAAATATCACGGAATACACAACCGAACTCAATTCGTTTCTGGCCTTAATTACTACACGAGTATTTAGAACTCTCAATAACTCAGAAATTTCCTGAACATCACAAGAAAGAGAGCTAACATTCCACTGAAATCACTTATCAAATTTCAGTTCAAGACTAAATGCAGAGAAATTCGGAAGCAGCATCGCGCGCTAGTGTGTATACGTACCTGGCGAGAACAGAAAGACGAGAAGCCCAGGGAGCAGGGGTGCCGGTGCTGGGGCGATTGGGAACAGCGTTATCAAGGTGCGACCTCCGGTTCTCGACCAGAGGCGTCACCGGCGAATCGGAAGCAGGCCTTACGCGGCCGGCCTTTCTAGCCGTCAAGTTGGATTTCCTCGTTCCCGGGGAGAACATTTTCCGATTTCACACTGGAGGAGTGAGTGTGGGAGAGAGTAAAAGAGAAAGGAGTAGGGTTCAGGGTTTTGGTTTTACGGATGAATGAAGAGAAAGTGCGTCTGCTAACGACCACGGCGAGTCCAGCGAGGCAAGCTGGAGCTGCACAAACCCAGTTTCAAAACAAATCTGATTCACCCTTCATTTTCATGTTTTCCCCCCTTTTAATTCATACTGCAGTTTTTAGTTTAGATTTACCTTGACCTAAGTTTTTTTTTCTTCGAGTTCCCTCATTTTGCCAAACCGCATTATTGATTTTTAACCGTATGATTTAGTGACATGAACGAGTCTCTCAAATGAAAAATAACTATAAACTGATTTAGTAATATGAAGTGAGTCTCTCAAATGAAAAGTAACTATAAACAATACTGTAAAAAACTTACCGGCACTTTTAAAATAATGACATTAACATGTATTTCAGTATTTCACCACGATCATGTAACCAATAAATCCCTAATTTATATTCTTCAACTTGAAGTTAGAATCAAAGTCTTGTGTAAACAAAATCCAAGGTACCAAAGCATAAAAAATCTCTCAAGATCATTACTCGATACTCAACACCACAAGAACTGAAAGTTAATTGCATTCTCAAAGCTCTACATAATAATCTAGACAAACCGGTGAGTCATTTTAATATTCCGTATGATCTTCCTCAAAATTGTGCATCAAGATTGAAACAAGATCTGATAAATGGAAGCTGCTATAACAGTTTGAAGATTCAATTAGCCCTCGACTTTTTTGCTTTTCTTTCTTGAGAATGCCCCGCTGATCCAGAACTGGTAACTGCACTGTTGGCTCTGCCAGAATCCTGCACAGACTGGTCCATGGACTTTGAAGACTCACCGTGGCTTCTTTTCTTTGGAGTCTTAGATGGCTCACCCAATTTGGATTTGGAACTTTTCTGTTGGCTACTAGGAGTGTTGGTAGTGTAGATACTCGTAGATTGTGAACTTCTATGCTTACTACTTTTAGTAGCACTTGAAGAATGGAAAACTGAACTTGTCTTTGTCATCGTTGAAGACCTCTGAGCTATCTCCTTCAAACTCATTTTGTTGTGTTTCTGAAATTCACTAGGCTCTGGATAGTGAATAAAAGAAACATGGCGCGAAATCTTTCCAACTGCCAAAGTATCACACAGGTTAGAGGCTTAGAGCATCGCAACAAAACATTAATACTATTAACAAAGATCTAAAAGGCAGATACAAGAAAATGCCCGTCTTTTAAAAAATAATGTTGGGGGTGTTTGGTAAATAGTTGTTAGCTGATTGGGTTAGTTGGTTTGACTAGTTGATAACATTAGCTGATTGTAGAAAAGTATTTGGTAAATTAACTGTTAGCTGACAGCTGATTACATGCTGACTTTCTCAAAAAGCTGATCGAAACTACTACTTTGAGCAGCTTTTTGAATTTTAACATTTTGGAACGGTTACAAAAAAGCTAATTAATCAAACACTCATATTGATTGTTTAACCAAGTCAAACAGCTAATAGTGGTCAAATAAGCCAAAATTGACTGATAAGCTAACTATGTTATCAAACAGGGCCGTTGTCTAAGCTAAAACAAATAAAGGCTGCACCAGAAATTTCTTTTAGCTTGCTTGTAGTTAATGGTTTTCAGAACTGGAAAGTTTTGCACAAAGGCTGTGTTCGGATGATTAAGACAACATAACCTGGCCCAGCACAATAATATGATGACTATAAATGTAAACTACTGAAAGTAGAATATACTAATGCAAGCATGCATACATGATACATATGCATTATGTATCAAAAGAACCACAGATGCCAGAAATGCAAGAAAGAACATAAAATTTCACAGACCAGCTTTTGCCTCTGATGCAGAAGATAGAAATACCGTTCCAACTGGATCCTGGGCTTTTAAATTGAAAACATCATAAGATTTTCCTGTCAACAAGAATACATGTTGATTAAATTTGCTAAGAAAGAAGGATTGTAAACATAAAGACAAAAAAGACTTAAATTTTTGCTCAAAATACTTGCCAGAAGAACTCTCAAAGCTGCCTAAATGCCCCTCATTATCAAGTTTCAGTGACACTTGCCCATCAAAATCTGAAGACTGCAACATCCCAAAAAAAGAAAAATGTGATTAGATCAAAATTCAATGAAGTATAGAAATATAATGTATCATTATATAATAATACTTACATATTCAAATTATCCTTGTTCTTTGCAAATTACAAATATTCTCTACCTCATGAATTCATGATGCAGATATGCATACAAAGGCAAATAAACATTGGAAAACTTCAGGTCCTTATACTATCAGCATATTTCATTTACAAGATATATTAAATTTTCTGCAAATTGGGCAAGTATTAATCCTTTCTATCGCAATATATCCAAAGTCCATCAAGTTTGATGATAGTAAGTTCATTATACCATAAAATGTAAGCATCAGATTATGTGAAGTGTAAATGAAGCTAAGAGTCTGCAATAGAGACCATACATGATTTTGGGGCCATTGGATGAGCCAGAGCTCAGTTGAATCCGTTAATTTAAGTTCAACAAGTGGATCTCTTTTATCCTCCACAAAATCAGAAGGAGGTTTGTAACCCAATTCATTAGCAACATCCATTTGCTAACCAGGAGACACCACAGATAATCCTGAACCACAGCCCTATATATTAACCAGAAAATGTTAATAAACTTATGAATAAAATCAAGCTGAAATTAATGTTTGATATAAAGATTAAATCTGTATTAAAAGTCAGATCTTAATTAATTTTTCACAGAAACAGTAATTCAGTGCCAACTGCCCATGATATTTAGACAACATCAAATATTCTACACTTCATTGTGCTAATAGTCTTCAATTTCAATTGCTAGCATGTGATTTAACAACATAAAACTAAGAATATTGCACTTATGTTTTTGAAATTAACAATGGGAATCATTGCAGACATTTGGAATGAATTGATTGAGCCCGAAATAAAGGTCTAAAACCAAATGAAACTGGGAAATAAACACAGTTCATTATATTCCATAAATCTGCAGTTATACACAACCCAATCGAATGAAATATCAGAAATCCTACACAATGAATCGCCTGCCTAGTTCCTACCTTATTTGTTTTTCATTTATATATAATTAAAAAATGATAAATAAAAGATGGCAAAGATTTTCACTGCATTTTCCAGGAACTCACCATTGTCTTAAGGTTTTCCATAAACAATCAATATATCAAATCATTTTTTTTCTCCTGACAACTTGTTTAAAATTTTTAAAAGGTATATAAAATTTATTCATTATAATAAAAATAGTATAGGGAGTAATAATTTAGTATCTTACGGCTACTGCCGGAGTGACGGACGGAGACAGATAATCCTGTTGGCGACCGGCGAGAGCGAGAATCCTCTACTTCTGCAGTCTGAGTCTCGGGGCAATAGGATGTAAGGGCGTTTGAACTTTGAAGTTTAGGGTTTAGAATTTAGGAATTAGGTTTAGGTATGAAAAATGTTAAATTGGACCCATTATTCGGATAATGCAATTACATCTCTTAAGTCAACTAATTTTCACTCAAATCCTCTAAACCTATAAAATTGTTTAATTAAATTCAAATCAGCAAGTCAAGCACCTTATGCTCAGATGACATGTAGTTACTCTCCCATATGGGAGTATGTATGAACAAATACTACAATGTAATAGAGTTAATGGTTTTAAAAAAAATTCAAATCAACAACATTAATTATTTTCAAACTTGACACGTGTCATTTTAAAAATATTTTTTTTATTTTTATTTCTTTAAAAAACATTTTATTTATTTATTAAATTTTAAAAAACAAAAAAAAAAAAAAAGTTTCATCGTTTATCCGCGCGAGGACAGTCGGAAGTGACACTAGACCATAAGGTCTTGGCAGTCATTATCATTAGTTATTAAATAAGTTTTTTTTTAAAGGAAATTAATTACATTAATTTAAGAATTGAAGGAGACATCCGGTGACTAGCCACCCAAGTAATACGTACAAATTGAGAGCCACAATATGGGTAAGTTGGTTCACTGAACAATAGATGAAATGACATATAAAATTATGAAAAGACCTAAATAGAAAGTGACATTGATTAAGAATGAGACCATAGTAAGAAGGATCTCTCATAGGCTTATTTATGGTTGTCACAACATTGTGGGATTTGTGGCAATCATACTCCAACACAAACTTGTCAAGGTTGAGGTTCTTAAGTCAAGATAATGGTTATCTACACGCTATAGTCTCTGCAAGATGAGAGTCATGGACATACGGTATTGGGTCGCAAGTGACAGCTTTGAAACCTCCCACCTCATCTAGAAGTACCGTCTCGAAGCTTGCTGTCTTTGTAGTATGAAGAGTGCGGCATCAACCTGACATCTAACAAAGCCTTCTGGAGTACCATCAGGAGCGGTGGTCGTTGTGGCCTGACGTTTGGTCCTAGGTGGGGTGTTGCGAGGTTGCGAGCCTGCCAAATGGAATACATAGTGAATATGGCATATAAATTTTTTTCAGTGCTCACATTCTTCATTATGAGTTTCATCTAGTCTCTGAAGTTCGTTTCGGTTGCAGCCATTCATTTAGAATTGCAAGTTGCCAATGTGTGCGTAATGGCAGGACAGCCAACCAGGGCGTGATAAATTAACTCCTCATTTATTTGGCAAAGCGGGCAGCTGGTCACAACCGTGACACCATGCTTGTTTATACTGTGATAAAAAAAATATTGGACATTATCTCAATTGCGCAATGCGCGTAAAAAATTAGTATACAAGATACAAGTCTTGTTGTACTGTTGTTGTATGAAAATTAGATGTTAGGCTATTATTTGTTGAACTACCAGTAGCCATTTTTGGCCATAGTGTTGTTGCTCATCATATCATTTTTTTTTGTTGCTCCAGTTTTCTCCAACTCTTTTGCTTTCCTTTCACATGCTCATGTACATAATGTTAAATGTTTGTCTCGTTTACCTCTCTTGAAACTTTTATCATTATCCTTAGGTAGGAGGAACATTACTTGGTACCATAGGAGAATGAAACTTTTATACTTGTGTCAAGATTTGATATGATGTCTTGAGTTTAAAGTTTATCTATTAAAATTTTTCGGTCACTTCTTTTCCGGTAATTTAGTCGAATGGATTAAAAACCACAGGAGAATGAAACTTTTATACTTGTGTCCAGATTTGACTGAAATTGAAAAAAATTGAATTATTACGGTACTAAATTAACAATTCTGTACCGAAATTAACCTTATATATAAGAGAAGTGAATTATATTAAATACTTATACCTAAAATGTATTATATATAGCAATGCTATAAATCCCCTCATTTATTTTCTGTAATAACTTCTCCCTTTTTTATAGTTTAATTTATTTTTTTAATTAATAATAGGGTCAAGGGTCAGTCTATTCATAGTAATGTTTGGAGGGAAAATAAACCACAATGGGCCAAAAGATGGATCACAACAGTTACTAATAATTCTATTTTCTATTTAAAAATCAATTTTGAATAAAACCAAGACTACTAAAATGTTATACATAATGGGCCAGAAAATGGGCTTGAAGAATATTAGACTTAATTTGGTGGGGTGCGCCAGGCCGATGCAGTAGTGCAACGCAACAGCGACGCTTAAAAGCCCAGGTAGCAAGCTACCTTAATGGGCTTTCCCCCTAAAAAAATTGAGTTAATATCGTGTGGACCATTGGCCCACGTATCAGATATTAAACTGATAAGAACAGATACTACACTTGATCTTAGCCAAAAGGCCGAGAAAGGTATGCTTTATCACAGCGTCGGCCTAGTTCTTTTATAGCATCTTACGTGCGTTCGCTCCCCCTGTTTAACCGATGTGGGACGCTAAGCTGCTCTCTTCTATATAAGAGAAGGGCGCGGAAAATGCCAAGTGCAAGTGAAGACTGAAGAGCGGGGAGTGGAGCCAACCCAGAAATCTTCTATGCTCTGAAACTCAAGCGAAGGGAAGGGATGCCGTGCTTCAACTCTCCTCACTGTTCCTCTTCTCTCCTTAACTTAAAATTTTCCGATTCTACTGCTAAGGAATCATTATTTCCTTCTTCCCGGCATCTGCTCCACTTTCCAAACAGGTACGATACTACCATTTTCTCTTTCCGAATCTTAATTTATGAATTCCATCAATTTGAATGAAATATTCGTTTGAAGTTGTCTAGTATTGTTTTTTACAGCGTTTTCTGATCCTCTTTATAATAATTTGTTTGTTTTTGTTTTTTCCATTGGGTTTGGATGGAATGCGTATGTAATCGCATTAGAACTGCTTAGTTCTACCGGCAATTTCAATTTTTAGTGACGCATTATTGGGAGGGTTTAGGAGTGTGGTTGATGATTGAGATTAACACATATTTATGTCTGGAATGGATCAAGTATGGCAGTTCAACCTGCTGCATTGTGGTCCCTATTCAATGAAATGAATCTAAAGGAGCTAAGGCAATTGTACATAGAAATTAGGGCACTTCTACTTCTGGGAGTAAGTTTTGAGGAAGCATTTTTGCCCTTAAAATTCCAGTGAAACTACAAACTGAACTGACCAAATATTTGATTATTGGAGTCTTGGAGATTGATTTATGTTTAGTTGGTTTGATTTGATTCCTTTTGAAATGACTGATATGTAAGCAAGTGCTTTGCATTTTTGTACTATTATCTGGAATGTAGGCAATATACATTTTTGTGAAAGCAATTGGTAATTGAGTTGGAATATGGAGTAGTTCCAATGAAAACAAACATATCATTTTGCCAAGGAAGTTCTTTGATTTTGTGTGAAGTGGTAAGTTCTTACGCTGATGCCCTGTTTTTTTGTCACTCTAGTATCATGGCGTTTGGTTCACTGTAATTTAGTTGTAATTGAATTGCAATTCAGTGGATGCCTCAATTACATTGTTTGGTTCTCCTTTTGTTGAATTGCAATTCAATGAATAAGAGAAAGGAAAAACATATGAAATGATATTACTAACATACACAAGGGTATTTTAGTCTTTATACGCCTTATTTCCTTCCCAATTCCAATAATTTTATTTCACCCTACCAAACAACGTAATTTGAATTCCTACTTTATTCCCACCGAATTACAATTCATTTTCCCCATAATTCCTTCCTTCCAACCAAATGTCCCATAAGAGAAGGGAATTATTGCGTACCTCCAGACGAACTAAATGACCTTTTAGCCCAAGACGTGCAAAGTGTGTCGACTTGGAGGGTCAGATAACTTGGGTCTGACCCCTCAGATGCACCCCAAAAAAAAGAAAAAAAAAAAAAGAAAAAAAGAAAAAAACCACAGCCATTCTCAAATCTCAATCATCCCATCAACACACTAGTTTGACTCAGGGTAATTCATACTCTGAAAAATTAGCATTCCAATTGGGTTGAATAAAGACAATATTGTCGATCTAGTTTCAAAATTCATTTACCAACCATCTAAACTGGTCTTCTCTATACCGAAACGCACCCAGAAAACATGTGAAGAGAATTTAAACAATGATTAAAATTTAGTATATTCAGTATGCAGTCTATAGTCTCGTCGCCAAGCAGAAAATATAGACAAAAGGTTTACATCATCATATTGTATATATATTTTCTAAGGAGAATCGATACTGAATTTGGGACATCACGTTTAGAGTCTCAGATCTAGATTTACATGACCGTGACTTAATTACATCACAACTAGATTACTGAATCTGGGACATCACGTTTAGAGTCTCAGATCTAGATTTACATGACTATGACTTAATTACATCACAACTAGATTACACAACTACAAAATTACGTATACAAGGGCTTGGACAACGGCCTGTAGTTTCCCCAAAGAACTAACACAAACGGCATAATGACAACATTAGGGATGCAAAAAGAAATTTGGAAAAAAAAAAAAAAAAAAAAAAAAAGTAAAACACATATGAAAGTGGTTTCCTACTTGTCATCTTCCTCTATGAAGAAAGTATACATGGACAAGTGAAAGGCAACTCAAGGTTCCAGCTTCAATGAGACCACTCTCGATTGCCTGTTGCGCTTGGCAGCCTTTGCAAAAACTACAGATAGGCATGATGGAGCCCACCATGGCTGGCGAACTTTTTGCTCCCCCTTTAAGCAAGCCACTGAAGAAAAGCATTGAATTAGTAAAGAAAGACAACATGGTTGGGTAGAACTATCTAAAGTTGTTTAGCACACATGTTTCATCCAGTGAATTAGGAAGTGGCAAATCCTAGTAGCATCAAAACACATAGTTGTCCTTGATGACGGGGGATTCAAGACCCACATAACTGGTCATTGAACAAAACTATCACAGAGGACAGTAATGCATTGGTTAACATTTTAAACTAAACTAGGCTACAATAATTGTTTATCCATTGGTTAACATTCCACAGCAGGGGCAATAATTTATCAAGATTTCACATTAAGCTTTGGGCAAAA